TTATAATGGCACAAAAGCCCAGAGATATTTTCTGTGTCAAGACTTGAACCAGTCTTCTTCCTGAAGCAGAAGAAATAAAGAGAATGAGGGTACCTTCTCTAGACTAGAAGTCTAGACAAAGCTGAGCAAGTCTAATGAAGGCAAGAGGTGATCAGGCTCACAGAGTGAGATAGTTTACTTTGGAACTTTAGAGATGATATCATTCGAAAGTCATGGCAAGGAAACTCCATGATAGTGTGTTACTAAGGCAGAGTAATTAGGTCCAAATGTTCGTTTTGGACAGTTTGTGTAAACCTTAAAATTACTTTGATACGGCAAAGTGGGAAAAAACTGTTGAGCCGCCATTTTTCAGAGTGTTACTTCAGTATTATACTTTTAATGGAACTTGCCTTTTAAAACCTAGCATATCTACAGTGTCCTTTCAGGGCTATCATTGGAATATAGTCCATAAATGTACATCAGATTCACCCAAAAATTTGTGTTGGATCTCCTCATTGTCATTTAACAGCAGGATAATTAATGAGAGAAGCAACTAGAATATTGACAGGTTACAAAAGACATAGAGGGTGATTGTCACTCCAAGATGGAAAAAGTTTAGCCCATGGGTAAAAGAGCAGTCTTCTCAATCTGTCACTAGGGTGTGTGAGAAGAATAGAAGCTTCTGAAGAGCTAGAGGCAAGATGTAGAATTCATAACCTCCAATTAGAGGGGCTTCCTTGAAAATGGTATCTGTGGACAATCCCCAGATGTGATCTAGGACAATACGAAACAGTAAGAGAGACCTGTGGGAAGGGACAGTGGGAGTCAGTACCCAAATGACTAAGTTAAGAAAGGCTGATAGCATGAGAGGTTTGTGTTCTGCAATGGCAGAGGTAATGAGATGGGCTGAAATACTCATATTCTTGAAACTTTAATTTTAATTTTTATTATGTGTTTATAATATATGTTAGGAATGGGAACATGTTATAACACATCTAAATTCTTTGTACTTCCCTTCCCCTCCTGCCTCCCTTTCCCATTTACAAAAGATCTCTCTGTTTCCTGTTAGATGTCTTTTATTTTGCTTTTTAAATTAGTGATATTTTGGGTCTCTCATATGAGATAAACTACATGAATTTATGTGTTTGATTTATTTCACTTAACCTTATTGTCTAAGGTGTATTTATTTTCCTAAAAAAGACTCAAACATCATTTATGGCATAGTAGTGGTCCATTTTTTATACCTACTTCATTTCATTTATGCATTCATCTTTTTTTCAGTTTTTATTAACATATTTTCTGTATTAACAATTGCGTTCCCTATGGAGAGTTGGTACATGTCTGTAACACGTCTAATTCTTTTTTCATTCCATCACCCGTCATCGCCCTTCTCCCTCTCTCCATCCTTTGGTCCCTTTCCCATTTGAGAAAGCACTGTCTTCCTATTTTCTATAATCTACCTTTTATTTTGCTCTTTATTTATTCTTCTAGCTTCACATGTAATAGAAACTGGGCAATAGTTATGCTTGTGTGTCTAACGTGTTTCACTTAGCATCACAGTATCAAGGTGCATTCATTTTTCTACAAATGATACAAGTTTATCCTTCTTTGTGGCAGAGTAATCCATTGCATATAAATACCACATTTTTTAAAAATACCACATTTTAAAAAATCCATTCATCTTATGATGGATTTATAGGCAGCTTCCAAGATTTAAATAGTATTAATTGTGCTGCTATCAACATAAGAATGTATGCATCACTATAATATGATGCCTCCAACTCTTTTGAGAAGATACCTAGAAGGGAAAATATCTGGTATAAAAATGGAATTGCTATTTTTAAGCGTATTTTTAGGAATGTCCACAATGATTTCCACAGTGGTTGTACCAGTTTACATTCTCAGCAGTAGTATAGTAGGGTTTGTTTCCCCCTACAAGCCTCACTAGTTGTGTTATTAATCAATTTCTTGGTGATAGCCATTCTTTCTGGAGTTAAATGAAATCTGCTGTTTTAATTGGCACTCTCCAGCTGCCAGCAATGTTGAACATTTTTTCATGTATTTTTTGGTCATTTGTACTTCTGACAAGTGTCTGTTCATTTCATTTGCCTATTTTTTGGTTGGGTGTTTTATTTTGGGGAATCTAATTTTTTTGAGTTCTTTGCTTGTTCTAGATACCAGTCTGCTGTCTGAGTAGCCGGCAACATTTTTCTCCATTCTGTAGGTTGTCTCTGCATTCTGTTGGTGTTTTCCTTTGTGGCACAGAAGCTTCTTAATTTGATGTGATCCCATTCATTGATTCATGGTGTAATTTCTTGTGCAGTTGGGGTTCTGCTCACAAAGTCCTTGTCTCTGTGTTTTTCCTGAAAGTTTTACCTATGACTCCAAATGGGATTGAGTGCAAAGATTTCAATGTCAGACACTTGAAAACTCCAAACGTTTGTCTGTTTAAGGTTCACAGAGACAACAGTTTTTGTAGGGAGCAAAGGTGTGTGCAGATTACCACATCAGGTGGTGTCTGCAGCTCAGTCAGCATTAAATTTAAGCTTCTAAACAAACGCGCAAAAAGTCAAAAGTGTTTGGAGAAGCATTACTTTGACCCGGAGTCTCACACACTCCTGTGTGTCACCCAGACTATTAACATAGAAACATGCCGATTCAGGGCTCTTACTCAGAAAATGGTTATCAAATTAAGGCAAGTTCATTCATGGTATTGGTTTGTTGGCAGCCTGTGTTACAAGGATTATTGGACAGGAAAGTTGTAGATTAACAGATACCTGATGTGAGATCATGCTGGGGCAGGTCAGGTATCTTTGGACCAAACAGAAATAGGAAATGAGATTGTGGAAAGAGACCCTTCAAGGTGCACAGTCAAGGGAAAACTGCCACAGTGCATGATTTCACTGGTTTATGGAAAACTTGATGCATAATCACACTTCTGTTTTTCCCAAATGACTAGCTCTGGATTCTTCTTGATGTTTCTTTGTGTTTACAAATGAATTATGTATAGTTAGGAAACACTTCAATATTTCTCAACACAGGGTATTCTTGGTAGTTTTGACGAAAAAAAGTGTACATTTTGAGAACTGTCTGTTATGTTACAGATCATTTAATTTCTGAGACCCCTGCTTCTCAGTGCAAGCGTCAGCTCTCAGTCTTTGTGACAACCAAGAATCCTCTCCTATTGTTAGTGCCTCGTAGGAGGCTCCAGAACCCCAACTGACACGGGATCTTGGGAGTCACCACCTTGGGCCAATATGTCATTTTTTTTGAGCCCACATTTTGGAAGCAGTGACATCCTAGAGTTTTCTTCCATTTCTGTTAAAATGAAGAACCTAAACTCTGACTTCACTATAAGCAGAGGCTCGTGAATTTACTACTGTCTCAATTTGATAATGAACAGTGACATTTCAGAACTGTAGTAAAACTGTGGCATTCTTTATCCCCCCTCCACTATTCTTTTAATGCATCTGTGATGTCTGTCTTTTCAGATTTCCCTGTTGCCCCTCACCTATTTTTAGACACCATTGCACATCACTGTGGGCATCTGTTCATACTCCCACGAGGTGGGAATTTTACTTCTTCATTGACAGACAGATCACAGGTAGAGTTTAAGGAAATCACATCATAAACACAGATTATAAAACACCATTTTTACTTAGTTTGCTTTTCCAACACTTCCAGATAAACCCAGATCTTATGGGACTTGAGGACAAGACAGAGAAATAGATGTACTAATGCTAACCAGGAAGCTCCAGCCAGCTCTCCTTTTCAGTTTCTTCTATGCATAATTGCTCATTAATCCTTTTAATGTTTGAAATCCAATGGCAAACAGTGCAGTGATAGAGGCTGTAGACTGACAGATGGGTGGAACAGGGCTGGAAATAATTGTGAGGAGAATGTTTTCCTTCCAACCTCCAGGAGGGCTGTGCAGGAAGTGTGCATATTAGCAGACAGGAGGGCTGCTTCCTTTCCAAGCATCAAGAGGAAGCTGCCAAAATAAAGCTTCTGAAGTCTTAGGAGAGCTGTTTTGATGGATGCTCCTTAGGAGGGAGATTTCCTGCTTGAGCTTAAATGTCTTCCCATCTCTGTCTTCAAGGCTTCTTCCAGTCTTCTTTTGCCATGGGTCTGAACTCATTTTCTGTGACTTTCCATAACTTTTATCTGTTGTCTCTGGTGAAGGTACTTCTCAGTTCCTACATTGCCTTCCTCCATAACACATGTCTACGGCCTCTGTACACAACCTAACCTGGCTTGCCCTCCACTAACCCCACTTACTCAGACCTTTCCCATGTTCTCTTTCCTTCTCAATCACATCCTGTTGCTTTATTATTTGGAAAGCTTGCTGTGATGTTTCCTTATTCACTCAGGTGTTGAAATTGTTTGTTCATCTATAACATTACATGCCTTTTTTATATCTCATAAGTGAAGCCCATGATGTACATGTATGAAGTATGTCTCCTCTGAAATTGGTTAAGCATCCTTAATCCAGCCAAATACACGGGAGTGCAAGTACTTTTGATTTCAGATTTTTTTTCAGGTAATGGAATGTTTTTATTAACATAGTGACATACCTTGAAGATAGGAACCTAAGTCTAAACACAAAAATTATTTTTCTTGTGCACCTTATATACAATAGCCTGAAAGTAGTTTTACACAGTATTTTAACGCACCTGTGCTTTGATTGCACCTCATCATGTGAGGTTAGGTATGAAATTTTTTACTTGTGGTATCCTGTCAAAACTCAGTTTTGGTTTTTGGATCATTTTAGAGTTTCAGACTAGAGATGCTCAACTTGTGCTAGCTTTGACTAAATTCACCCCAGAGTGGATTTGGGTTTTGATGATTACCAGTGATGCTGAGTGAATAAAAATTATCTTTTCCTAATCAAAATTTTTTAAAAGGTGTGCACCTGTCTTTGGAGACTGACAGCATGATTGATTCAGACATTAGGGTGGTTGGGGTCTGGCTGGCCAGGGAGGCAGCCCCTCACCACTCACTCTGTGTGTCTCTCCTGGCAGGAAGATGAAGTGGTTCTGCAGTGCATTGCCAACGTTCATAAGGAACAAAGGAAGTTCTGCCTGGCAGCCGAGGGACTTGGGAATCGCCTGTGCTTCTTGGAACCCACCTCAGAAGCAAAGGTAAGGATGATTACCTGCCTGATACCTTGCTTGGTGCCTCTCACATAGTCAGTTAGGGGAAGGAGCTGCCGGGACATGGTGATGAGGAAGAAATTTGAAAGCAGTCATTTGCTTTTGAAATGGAAAGCAGGTCAGACTTACACCCTAACCCTTCCCAGGATGTATTGAGGTGAAGAAGTAGAGATGTTCTGGGTGTCAGTGCTCCTGTCCAGGCTGCAGTGCACCATCAGCACTGACTCCCATACCGCTGCCTTTGTTGTTAGCAATTTCCAGAAATCTTAGTGCATGTTCTTTACTCCAACTTGTCATCATATTGCTACAGAAACCTATGGCTGCTTGAGCCTGTGTTGCCCGTCAAGCATACCCCTTTCAGTTTTGACTGGGGTAATGTTGTTAATTGACAGTCTTCTGGGATCCAAGGGATCTGGTCCCTGCCTAGGTGACAGCAAATAATGTCATGTCTAGGTGGTAGCATCTAATGTCATGTACCCAAACTTCTATTTTTCCATTTCTGGGCCATATCTGGTTTTTATGATTTGTCTGTCAAGTAGATTTGTGTGCTTAGCATTCTTATAATAAAATACATACTGGGAAGGCCCATATCTCAGCCATGGTTCTCCAGAGAAAGAGGGCCAGTAGAATAGATTAATGGGTGAATGGATGGATGGATTGATGGACCAGTGGCTGGATAGGTGGATAGGTAAGTGGGCGGATGGATGGATGGATGGATGGATGAGTAAATATTTTAGTTACTTTTCTCATTGCTGAGACAAAATACCTGACACCCAAAGTTAAAGGAAAAAATATTTATTTGTCTCACAATTTGTAGAGCTTTTTGTTTATAGGTGCCTGGCTCCAAGGCAGCATGACATGGCAGAGGTGCATTGCAGAAGGGAAATAGTCCAAGCAAAACAGGCCAGGCAGAAGGCAGCAAGCAGAAAGTCCAAGAGACTTTAGCAGCTTCTTTCTGCCAGACCAATCAGTGACTGATTTAGTAATCACTCTTAATCCCAGCACCACATACTCTAGGTCCATCCACCCCTAAGAAAAACCCTACCTATGATCACATGAGGCTTTGGGGGGACATTTAGACATAAGCCATAACAGTAGGCAAGTAGGTAGATAGATAGAGATAGCTTTATTTTAAGAAATAAGTTCATGTAATTGTGTGGACTGGCAAGTCTGTAATCTATGGGTCATATCAGCTAGAAATGCAAGCAGGAGTTAAAGCTGCTGAAAACATGGAGGCAAAATTTCTTTGCTAGGAAATTTCAGTTGTTATTCCTATGTTCTTTGATGGATTGGATGAAGTGTAGCCAAGTTATCAAAAATAACTTTAAAGTCTGCCTACTATAGGTGTTAATTTTATCTACAAAACTTTGATTAAATAAGTATACTGTGAACTACCAAAATGAACACACAACTAGCCTTCTCATTCTCCAAGCTCAAGTTTTCCCAATAAACTCTTTTTTAAAAAAATCAGAAAAATGATTTTTCTCACCTGTTAGCATGTCATTTTCCATATAAAAACACAGGGGACTGGGGATTTAGCTCAGCGGCATAAGCTCCTGCCTTGCAAGCAGGCAGTCGTGAATTCGATCCCAGTACTAATAAAAAACAGTTAAAAAAAAAAACACAGACACACATGCAGTCTGGCTCCTAGAACACCAAAGGTTTAGACAGATGGCCATGTCTCCCAGAAGTCTTCTCCTTCACATTGCTGCTTCCCCAACCTAAGTGGTCACTGATTTCTGAAAACAGGAATCAGCCAGTACAGAGTCCCATTAAAATATATGGCAGGAAGAGAGCCAAGAAAGATTTTTAACTTTTTTTTTAAAAAAAGTCTTAGACTTAATTTACTTGAGGCCTTTTATGATTTGCTTTTATTCTTAACTAGATATTACTCTTTTCATTCCCAGCAGTCTGAGATAATAGGAGGATTGTTAGATTAGAAGTGAAGAGAGTAATTCTCAACCATTAGCTAGTCAAATGGCCAAGGATGATCACGCAAACTTATTTTCAGTTTTGTCATCTGCCAAAGCAGTTATAATATGGTTTAATGGAAAGAATACTCACCAGAATTAAAAACCAGATAATACCAATGAGTCATGCATCAAGGGGGGTCATGTAACTCACAGGAGAGTCTCTAGAGATAGAGTTTGAATCCTGTCTCCACCACTGTTTGCAAAGCCAAGGTCTTGGGCTAGGTATCTCACCTTGCAGAGTTAGTTTTCTCATCTCTTTGATGGATATGTAATTGTTATCCCCTTTAGAATGTTGTTCTCAGGGTTAAATGAGTTAATATATGTAAAGTGCTTGTGCATGCAAATTGCCTAGCACATTATAAACTCTGTGTGGCCATTGGCTATCAGGATTTAATCTCAGTTGAAAGACTTTGTTGATCTATAAAATAAGGATAACTGTAATTCTGGGGAATTGTGAAAATGAGAAATGACACACATAAATCACTTAGTGCTGAACCTAATGTAGCACATTTAATAATAGATACGATAATACTAAGTATAATACTGATCTCTCTTTCGACTTACAATTCTGGCTTATGTGAAAGACAGAAAGATTATGGATCATCTTCCAAACTTATAAAATCTTGAACTTTAAAATGAAAATCTTGGATTAAATATTCATTTAATTATAAAATTATATGGTTCTATAAATGTTACTCTGAAACCCAGGTTAAAAAAAACCTACATATTGCAACCTAAAAATGTTTATATTCCCCAAGTATCAACATTGTAAGTCATCTTACTTGAAATGTGTTAGGGATGAGAAAATATCTTTCATAACGCCCACTTAGATAAATAATTATTTTAATATTTCATTCTATATTTAAATATGATAACAGGCTGAATAGACTTTTAAAAAGATATATCATACATAATCTTACCAACCTTTGTCCAAAGTTGTACTCATTCAGACATTATACTTTTTTTCTTTAAGGTTTTATCTAGCTGCACATTGCCTTGTAGACTTCATGGATGTTTAAAAAATCATGCATGTGGTTTTGCTTGTTTATTTTAGTTCCCTGGAACAAATATTCAGGAGTAGAGTTGATTGTGTCAGGAACACGGACATTAAGTCCAAGAGGATCCACCAGCCGTTGCAGTGGACATTGCCAGTATCGTATAAGCATGTGTCTCCTTTGTTTGCAATTTTAGGAAAGTGAATCATAAAGACTGTCACAGAGAAACAGGGGCAAATTAATGGATAGAAAAGAGCAGATATTCAGAATTTTCTGTCAGCATTCCTGGCAGTCCCCTATTAATAAACCCATTTTCTGGGAGGACCATTCTTTCCTGCAGTCAGCAAACTGTGCACATCTCTCTTCTAGCTGCCTCTTTTCTCCTTTCTCACTAAATAATTCTTCTAATTCTCTACCACCAAATTTACAGCCAGTGGTGCCATTTTTAGGTTCCTGGAACCTAACAAAAAGTCCTAGAGTGAGGTGAAAAGGTATTTTCCTGCCAAGCGTAGTTTATATCAGCCACCTACAGAACCAGCCAGTGACCTGGGGCCTTTCTAGTCAAGGGTATTTCAAGCTCCTTGAAACTCAAAGAGTTAAAGCTGAGATGAACTCTAGAGAACCGAAAAACCTCAGAAAAAAAGAGTTGAGATAACGTATAAAAAAGATATTCCTAGCATAGCCATTCCAAAAAGGGATGTCCTATGAAAACAAGGATTAGGAAGGAGCAAATGTACAAACATAGCTATTGGTGTGGACATGGAGACCATGTTGCACTTGGTAGAACGTTTGTGACTTTGATTCCAGTATATCAGTGATGGTGAACATTTTAGATACTGACTACCCAAACTGCAGCCTAAAATCCCTTATTTTTCTGCAAAATGGAAGCAGTGCAATTAAACCTAAATACTCAGATGTTGGGACAACTCGGCTCACTGTGATGACTTGGCTCACACCCTGCATGCCTGCTGAGCCACGTGTGCCATAGGGTCACCACCACTGTGTTCTTCCCTGAATTTCTTAGACGTGCCGATATTGAGTAATAGAAATACTGATATTCAGCTTCCCTTTCAAATAAGCACAGGTTCAGGAATTAAAAGTCATCTTATTTTATAGGAAATATTCAACAGGCAGGAGTGAGAGTCACCATTGTTGAAAAAACTCCTGTACTACAGGAACCAATATATTCCCTAACAACTTCATAGGCTTTTGGGGGACCCACAAAGGACCGCCCCAGCTACAAACAAGAATCATTATCCTCAGAAAGTCACAATACCACAAGGTATTGATCATCTTCCAGCTCAGGTGTAGTCTGCCTGTTGGGTATCGATTTCATCCAAAGCAGTACTCTCCCATAACACAATTAACATTCCAATTTTCACAGATTGCTCTAGGAACAAACCCAGACAGTTGACTGAGGGTCAAATTCTCATGCAGAAGGAGAAAAAATTGCATCACCCTTATCCCACAGTAATCTTCACTGATGACAATTTTTCAATGACTGTGGCCGGCACCACCAATACTTCTCCAAAAATCATCTTGCATGTGTTTTAATAACAGATCTTTTTTAAAAAATGGAACAGTTATGTGACCTTTTAAAAAGCTAAAAATGGTGAGGAAACTGAATAGATGTGATGAAATCATCTATCCTACTGCCCCATAGAAGTCACCAGAGTAGCTAACATCTGTGGGCTATAGATGTCTAAGAATAAAGTTCTACTCCCTTTTGGGGAACACTTTGTCTTACTGATCATGGCTAATTCAAACTGAAAAAGTCAATTGTGGACTCCAGTTTTGCATTGAAAACTTCCAGGGGGACTTTTATCCCTGTTATTTTAATCTGTGTTTTGAAAATGAAAATCATCCACTACAGTTTCTAGAAGTTGTATAGAATGTTAAAACCCAGTGTTAAATATTAGCTATTGTGCAAACATCATTATGTAGATGACATAAATTAAGTTGCAGTTCTCAGCTAAACATAACATTATTTTGTTTTGGTTTTTTTTTTAGTGTTTAGCTC